TAATACTATAGTACTATAGTAATATAGTACTATAGTTCAGTCTGTGCTGTTGGCCATGCAGACGACGTTCCTCCACCTCCCGATCCATACGAGTCCAGTGCCGTGGCCTGAGTGCACACACCTGTACAGTGAAAGCAGCACATGAGGAGGGCTTGCAGTCAGCTTTTTGTTCCGTCGCATGCGCGACGCTTCAAACGCCAAACCTCCTCGCCCACAGTAGTTATACAAAGCAACGACCGGCCACGACATTATTGACCTTTCGACACAGCAGAAAGATGAACAAGTTACTATGGCTATGAGCTTATGCCGATGTTTCTTCTGCGATCGGTTCTTGGTGATAAGAGCGACCCCGAAGCCATGAAAGCAGCGGGGGAATGTGAGCTATGCCCGAGGCACAGATCCGCGGCGCTGGGGCCCAAGATTTGTCAAGCCTTAGCCCCCGGCCCCCATGCCTCAGCCTCTGCAGCACCGATGTCGACATTTATGACAACCTTCAGGGTCAGCAGTGCGCAGAAGATCGCTGTGTATAATATGCGTTTATGGTGGCAACGATTTGCACCCGATGTAGGAACCCACAGCCCAGGCTTGCGACTTGCCGTGAACATTCAAGTTTCAGTAGATGCAGTCTGGATATGTAGCCTTCATTTTCTGGGCATTTCGGCTTCGTTGTATTGCTGCACCTTGTTATACTTAGTGTGGCTAGTTTTGGTGCTGTTATCTTATGACCTATGCTTCCAGTGCTGCAATACAGTTGCACAGATACTATTCTGTTAGGATGACAACTATAGCACTATATTAGGGTGCCCCATTTTCGGAAACTCCCAGCTGACTTCGTTGTCAGCGTGCTGTCCAGGTGTTTCGAAGAGCAGAAGCCTAAGCACAGTCCTAATATACTGGCCTGAATAATCAGAAAATAATCGGCCTAGCGTTCAGGTACGTATTCTAACAAGCATACTGGGGAACCAAGGGGGGTAATCTTCCAGAAACCAAGACATGACGTCCTACTTTTTCAACTCCACAGTTTTATTATTTGTTAAGCAACCCTAAAGGATACTTACCCCTAAAGGATACTTGCCCCTAAAGCCCGCAATACATCAAGAGCTTCCGAAGGCGGCATCCGATGGTACCCGGCCCCAGATTTTTCGGGTTATGGGGTTGAGGAGATTTTTGTTGGCTTACGGTTTGGGATTGGGCTTTCAAAGGTCCTCGCGTCACAAACCCTAAGCCGATGCTTTAAGGATGCCGGGTTTGTCACGCATTCCGAGGCCGACGGCAGCGGCGCCGTATGTTAGAGAAGCTTGCATCCAGCGTTCTCACCATCCAGGACAACAGGCTCGGCACCAGGAACCAGAGCTTTTGAATCTGTGCGTTGGAGCCTTGACTTCGGAAACCTCATGGGCGAGCTTCAACATGCTCTACTTTGGATAGTGATCAGAAGGGGGGGGGCGGGGCAGCCACGATAATGGCATCGCCAAGTTCCTATAACGAATTACTCGAACTCTGCTGATTCTACGCCCGACATGTGTGCCGTCAGACCCACCCTTGTACATCAACAACCCTCGGGTTTTTGGACACCAACCTGCTCTATGCGCGGATGACCAGAATCCCAGGCTTCGGAAGTCTGAGACCATCCACGAAACGAATCATCAGGCATCAAAGCTTCAACGATTATATCAGTTTGATCATCATGTTGGCTTTCCGAAAGCTGTCTCGAGGTTGGAAGTTTACGGTTCAGGTTCCCGAACCCCAAGTTTATGGTTGGGAGCGAGTTTATGGGGTGGGCCACCCTCCCCAACCCCCTGAATGACCCCTGCAGAACTACAGACTGAATAGTTCCCAGCTGCCTCGCAGCAGCGCGGCTGCCCTGCAAAGGATATTCATGATCAGAGGGCGGATAGACAACCCACCCCATAAATTGGCACCTGGACTTGGTTTACAACAAGGCGGTTGCAAGTCTCCGAGATTTCCAGTCCGGTCCAGGCAGATGAAGTCTCGGCCGAACCAGGTCAAGCATCGCAGCGAGGTGCAGAGCAGTCAAGATAGGGTTTTGGGTATACTTTACTGAAGCAATAGTATTGGTATGATGGGGTTTGGCATATACAGTTGACGTTTAAACAGGCGTAAAGATACAAAGAGACTGTAAGGGGATGATCTAGCCGCTGGCCAAACTGCGATTGCTATTCCTCCTATCATGGCTTGTACTAAGCATGGCTACTACTGGAATGACGAGTATGATGGAGGTACTGGGTGCACGGTGGAGTGTGGGATGACGCTGATGCTGACGATGCTGGTGGCGGTGGTGGAATGCCGAGGATGCTGACGGCTGGTTCTGCGCGCTGCTGCTTTGCGCGGATAGTGCGACGACGACGCCGACGACGACTTGAGTAAGTATAGCTGTACACGGCTATGAGATTCTTACCATCCTCGTTTCACTTATCGTCAAGCATGCGGCAAGTGTCACAGCGGGGTACTGCTCGTGAAGTGATGGGCGTTTCTCGCCGATTCGATTCGATCCTATTCGACCCAAATCCTGAAAGAAGCTCTTGAGCGACTAAACGAAAGAAAAACCCACACGAGTTAGGTTTCACTGATAGCAAACATTTTTTGCCTTTGTTCTTCTGTAGAAGTCTCTGAACCCGGCTTCGTGTACCATGAATTCTCTACCGTAGGTCCCACACATCGCAAACAAATGTAGACAACCCCTGAAGGCTTGCATGGACTGCAATCCGCAGCATGACCTGTACAAGGCGCTTGTCTCACAGAGGTGTGGTTTAGGGTTTCGGCCGTTGGTTAGTTGTCGGAAGCTTCGAGACTTCGATACTGGGTGAATCAATCAAATATGAAGCCAACAGCCATGGTTTTATAAAACATGAATCACATGGATTGGGTTTGTAGGTTGGTTTGCATTCAGGGTTGTAAGAATCAGACATCACTTGCGGAGGGTTGTCGCAGGTAGCTTTTGCACGAAAGTCATACTGTAGCGTACCCCGCACGCTGCGGGTATTGTTGAAAAGAGCTTCGATTTTTGGCGAACCCATAAATCTCGACTCCCCTAGATCCCTTTATGTTTATCTGAGCTATACCCCCCTAAGTCCCTAATCCGCAACCAAAGCCCTAACGCGCCGACAAGTTCCGCGACGATCCCAACTTGAGGTGGGTGTGCTGTCGTCGGACTGGAATCGAGAAGTGCCCTCGCCTCGGCTCGGCCAAGTTTGGAGTTTCAGGGTTTAGGGTTCGGCGTTCCCCGTCTCAAGGGGCTTCATGGCTTCAGGAGTTTGGGCTTCTTTCTTGGAGTAGTGCTTTGGCATGGGTCTTGAACGGGGGGGGGGGGGGGGGTTGGGAAATTTGAGATATTTGTGAGTAGTTATCCGTTTTCGCCCGCAGGACGGATCTTGGAAGGATGCAGGTAATCAAGCCATCAAAACTAACCATTATGATGCTGAGTCCCAAACCAAAGCTGGCTACTCTTATGCTGAGCCCCAAGTAGGGCTTCTGCATTTCTCCTTATCAACGGAACGCTCCAAATACACTGGTTGTAACGTTGTACCAGCCAACCATATGACACGCCTCTACGTACTAGACATGTGCACGTTGAGCCAAATCCTGGCATCGGAACATCACGTAGCACTCAAACTGTACCCGAGCAGCATGGATATCGATGCTAGATGTTGGGAAACAGCGGCTACAAAGCTTTCGAAACCGAAACATACACGCTCTCAACACCCACTTATTTAGTGGTCGGCATAGTTAGCCAATACTCCCCCCGTAGAGTTCCCTCATAAAATGATACTACAATACACCCCGCAACCCGATTCCAGCTGTTGCAAGTCACCTACATAGAACGATTGCAGTAGAATCCCTGCTGAAACGCTTAAAGAGCCCCTTAAACAGCAGCACTTCAAGGAAACCACTGCTCGCTCTTCCTAAGAACTTCTCTTTGGGGTTGAGGGTTTAGGCCCTACCTATAGTCTCCATTGTAGTTCCTTTTTGGGGTTACCTTTTAGGATCCTTAATACAAAATTGGTTAAACCAAAAAAAGGAACTACAATGGAGACTACAGGTATGACACCACTTTCATCCCAAGATCTGAGGTCCATTCCGGTTTGGGTTGAGCGGACGGGCGAAGCTCAGGCAACACAGCGGCTGAAGGCTCCAAATGGGGGTTTCCGAAAATTGGTGGTACCTTATTTGGGGGTCCTCATAACAGGGATCCTACTCTTTAGGGTACTATAACAATCATCAGCAATAGTATACTCGTCGTAGACTAAATCTTTGACTTTCTGGTTGCTTCCATCACTTGTTCAGGGTTTCGCGGTTCAGATTTGCTGTGGTTTCCATCACTTACTACTTGCGCAACCGCTGTTCTGTTGATGCTGGCGATTGATGCAGTCATGATTTCTCTTTGTCAGCCTTCTGGGTCTCATGCCATTCGTTCGTTCTGCAGTTGCAGCTCGTGGTGACTACTGCTGTGAGCTCTTGACCTTCAGGGCAGGGTTCGTTCTCGGCTGGGCCTGAGGATTTGGGCATACAGTGCAAGGTGTGATATGCCGACACAGCCTTCCCGGCCGAAGCTTCAGCTTCGCCTTTGGGATTTTGCAAGTAGCAGGGAAATTTAAGAGTGTAGGGTTCAAGCTGGAGTTTGGGCAGGTTAGGGAGCCAGTACTTCCAGCGGCTCAAAGCCGTAGACGCTCTCAGATCAAAGACATCTGAGAGCCGTGGCAGTAGACGAGGGGCGCGCTGCCCTCTCGAGCCCGGTGAGAGACCACATTGTCCGCTCAGGAATATCCTCATTATGCTTTGTTATGTATGGATTCATGTATGTATGTATGCATGTTTAGATATTTCAGTAAGTATATGTTCGTGGTTTATTCAACAACTTGTACAGTATGGATCCTATATATACATATATATATATAGAGAGACACATGTGTGCCGATTCTCCATCCGCATGAGACTTCAAGTCCAGAAGGGCTCGTGTCCTTTGCTTTAATCATAGCCCAATGAACAAGAGGAGGCGGAGAACTGGCTCCCACACCGTCGCCTTGAGTAAGCTCTCCTCTTTTCTTTGTCTGTGCGCTGTCGGCCTGGCTTCTTTGCGAGAGCGCTGTTCTCCTGCAAGTTGTGTTGTGGCACCGCAGGTATTTAGGGAGCACGGGGTGCTGTACGCAGCTCCTTATGACCACGAGGTTAGGGTCAAGATCGGCTCCATCACCGGACAGCGAATTGGCGATGCCATACGCGCTGCGCAAGACGCTCTCGCACTTGATGAGAATGCTGAATTACCTGGCATGTTCAATTTCATTTCACCGAGTTGGTGGTTGCGGCAACTCAACCGCGGGGGCATCCAGGTTGAAAGATGTGCATGGCAGCATCTTGAGTTCGAGCGAGTCGAGGCCGACTATGTTGTGAAGGAAGGCGACCGAGCCCGACTCATGATCCATGTTCACGAGCGCGCGGCGCCCGACGTTGAAATTCCGATCATCTACGAGGATCGAAATTTCCTAGCCGTCTCTAAGCCCTCCTCAGTGGATCTTACGAAAAACCCAGGCTATGGGAGCGTGCGGCTGTCAGTCCTGGGAATGCTGGAAGAGATGGGATATACCGACATCTATCCAGCTCATCGCATAGACAAGCCCGTGTCGGGCGTCCTTTGCCTCGCCAAGAACAAGAAAGCTCTGTCTCGGCTCATGCGGTGTATACGCAACCGTAAGGTGCAGAAGACGTACCTGGCACGTACCATGGGTGGCCCAGATGAGGGTGGCTTCAAGATACAAGCGCCCTTAGATGTCGTCCTGGATGCTGGGCATTTCAGAGTAAATTGCGAACGTTTAAGGTGAACTTGCTGATTAGCTTCAAGCTCTGATATCCACAGTGCATATCGGCAATGAGTCCAGGACAACTCCACCAACAAGAACGTGGCGGTGGCTTCTGCTTCTGGCAAGAGATCGGAGAGCGTCATCGACGATGTCTTCACCCGTCACGCAGACAGCACGGCAACCCTTGGGGTTCGCATCCTCACGGGCAGGTACCACCAGGACCGCGTCTCCAAAGCTAGATTCTATATATACAGATAATTAGTATAATTAGCATGAGGATTCCCTTACAGTCCCTACTATAGCTATAGCATAAAATGCCTCAAGACCCTAGTCTAAAAATTCAGGCCGGTATGTTAATCCGCAGGCTCGCAGTTGTCGATGGTGCTGTGGCCGTTGGTTCTGACACCCCCGAGCCCCAGCGCTTCAAGAAACCCATAAACCGAGGACCTAACGCTTGCTTGAGGTTTGAAATTTGAAACCTCCACCTAGACCGTCATACCATCTTCCCGCTCCAAAGGTTCTAAAGAAAGGGGTGCGGTGTGATCCTCAGGCAGTGTCGGAGGATTATATCCAAAAACTCCGCCCGCCGGTGCAGATGCTGAGCATAGCATACATACTCCTCCTGCAACCCATATTTCAAAGCCTGAAACTCTTGCAGAACCCAACCTCTAAAGAGACTTTTTTTCTGAAGGCCTTTTCTGAAGGCTTAGGCCTCAATAACTACCTATACTATCTTGGGGGTTCCTTACTATCATTATAGAATAATGGGCCCCGCAACCCTAATTATTAAGATAGATCCCTTTGAAGAGCGCGGAGAGGTCCGATGCCATTTGCAGCATGCTGGCTGGCCCATCGCTAATGATCCGATCTACGGAGGCGTTCCGCAGCTTGGGCAGGACCGGGGTCTTTGGAGGTTACGGTTTCCTAGATGTTTTTAACTTTTTTGGCTAGTATTGTCCCTATATAATCCCTATATAACCAAAAAGGTTAACCTTTAGTTCCCCATGATATCCGACAAGTAGGGTTTAGGGTCTTTGGAGTCTAGGTTTTACATACAGGGCATACAGGGCTGGGGGTTGAATACCACAATTTGATTGCGTTTGGTCTTCGGAGTTTTGCTTTTAGGTACAGGGCTGAGGGGTTGAATACCAGGGTGTGATTGCGTTTCCCGGGTTTTACGTTTCAAGCCATTCGGCTAGGCTTTTGTTTGTGATTGTTTGATGAGGTAGTCACAAGGTTCCTGATATGTCCCAATCTGAACCCTTAACCCTATTCTATGCCCCGAATCCGAACCCTACACCCTACGGGTTTAGCGCCTGCGATGGGGTATTTCCTGTCAAACCTCCAGGAGATCTTCAACGGAACCCGGGCTCGGCAGATGATTGAGGAGCATCAGATAGAGGGCTGCACATCTTGTGAGTATTTTCGGCACCTCGGCATGGGATTGCGAGGAAGCGTTTCGCATCTTTGGAGTTTCGAGCAAGTTCGAGGGATGATCTCGGTGGCTTAGGGCTGGTTTTCAATAGCTCAGGGTTAAGAGCTCAAGGCTGTCATTGGCATTTAGGTTGTTTACGAGTACAAGTAGTACGGCGGCTTAAACGCGGATCCTCTGAGTCTCCGGCAGGGCCCGTAAAGGATTAGAACCCTGTAAGGCCAAGTAAAACCCTGAAGACCTATGGGCCCTATAGAAATTCCAGGAACGTCGCAAAGGGAGTGCAGCCCTGTCCACGACTGGATCCGACTATTTGGCTTCACAGCTGGTGGCTGGGGCAGATTTTAGCTTCCTTTCGACGTAGGAGTGCCTTATGCAGGGGTCCTTCTGCCAAAGATCGTAGCACTTGCAGTGGCTGTTTGGGTTCCCTGGTGTGTGAAACTCCCGTGTGCATGTGTTACATACCCTTCCGGAACTCGCGGACAGAAATGCTTGCATTGAGAGCTTTCAGAGGGTCTTGCTATCTCGGGTTTGGATTAGGGTACTCCCAAATGCATTCCCTCAGCCCTAATAATTTAATACCCAAGTTAGGGTACCCGGACTGTGGGGCCTTAGTCAAAACCCTCTACAGGTAGTACCCTTCATTTTGAACCCTTTTCAGATAGTATGCTGATTATGGGATCCACCGGGATAGGTTCCCGACCCACCAGGAAGCTCCAATTCGACTGACGTCCCCTTGCAGGAACGATAGGAGCTACCCATAGGCTCCTTAGTAGTTCCTTTTTGGGATTACCTTATAGGATTCTAAATATGAACCCCAAAAAGGAACTGCTTTAGAGCCCTAGGGTAGTGTGTAGTTTAGCCCCATAAGGCCCATGGCACACCCTCTTTGCCCGCATGTGCCCTCCCTTTTGAAAGTTGAACCCCTCGTCCACCCCCGAGGCGGTATAACTTCCCTACCTTGGGGCTATCTTTCGAAGCACCGCCACCTGACTGGGCCGGCATGTGAGTCCTCCACTGATTCGGGGACCATTTGTCAAAGGTGTGCTGTTCATCAGCCTTGTAGATTTCGAAAAAGTTTCTAGGCTTCTGATTCGGAGCAGGGTTCGGTGGCTTAAAAAACGTAGAGCTCCTTATGAGGGTCTACAGAAGGACATATGAGAGGGAACATATTTATATACCATTATTTACATTGGGTTTGCTAGGTCTTGGGGCGACCCCTGTGCTTGCAGAAGAAAAAAGTTCTTGCAAAACCTCATGGCATGGCCCAATCTTCAGCGACATGTCGAGCTTTAGGAGCATAGCGCCCGCCCAGACTCTCCAATTAATGTCACTCTTGGTTTTGCCTCACGCTTTGTTTGTTTTAACTACAGGGTCCTTAGCATCAAAACTGGTTGATTAAACGAGGAACTACACTTGCTTGTACAGGCTCACACCAATCCCCAGACCCCAAAGCTACTTTGCACCTTTGTATTTTCAGAATATGAAAACAGATAATCACAATACTCATCATCATCATCCTCTTCATCCTTATCATCATCATCGTCTTCATCCTCATCATCATCATATAGTGAGAAACCCGTCACCCTAAACCCGTCAGTCAAAACAGGCCGCCATTCAAAGCCAAGCCCTCGATCGTTTCGCCGACCTTCTGGCGGCCCTGATGCCCAGACGTTGCGGGGGGGCGTCATCTCGTGTTATTTCTCGTAGTATGGTGGGTTTAGGGTATTTTTCTGGTATTATGGCGACATTGAAGTTTGTATATTGCGTCTCTTTTCCTTATGCCAGGTGCTATATGTTCGATATTTGTGCTTGGGGTTTAGGGTTGAGGGTTGAGGGTTTGGGGTGGCCAGCGCTACTTCGGAGCTTGGGGCTTATGGCCAGGGATTGAGATGTGCAGCATTCTGGTGTTGGCTTGAGGTGATGAAACTTACGCTTCCAGCTCACTATTTTGCCTCGAGTCCCGAACCACACAAGAACTCAACATTCAGTCTCGTCTCACAAGCTCAAACCTCCAGAAGCCACAACCTCGTAACCCCTGCTGCCGCCACTGGGAAGACGCGGAATCTGACCCTTGTTGGTCTATTGCTGCCGGCTTCTGTCGATAAAGTTTAGGGTCCTGCAAGGGCTTGATCTTGGTGTTTGTGGATTGTCCGCGGGTTATGGCTGGAGGTTTGTAGAATGTAGAGTGGCCGCTCGGGTCGATTGAACATCGAAGGGAAAGGGGGGAGTTCCAGCACGAGGCTAGTAGGGCTTCAAACCAACAGGCTCAAATACGAGTATGGAATTTGTTTTAGAGTCTGGTCTTCATGGTGGCCCGAATGGTTACAAATCAGTGAAACCCAGCGAAGCATAATCCTAAAGGCCCTCAACCGTTCCTGAGTTCGGCTCCCGGCCCAGGCCATCTCGGAGCTGTTCTCCGTCCCCTGCCATCGGCTCAGCTTGTCCAGTCGCATGGTTGCTCTGTACTGGTCAATCTCACTGGCAACTACAAACGACTACGTACAGCAAAGCCTTTGAAAGTATAGAGTTGAAGGAACTTGTTTCTTGTGCCACCTGTCTGAGCTGAGGCCACGAGAGGGTTCACATCTTTGAGGAGGACAGCCCACAAGCGCAGCAAGCGGGCTGAGCTGCATCTCACAAAGGTTCCGTAAATGCCCTAAACCATAAAGCCTATAGACCCCATGCCATCAACCTTCCATGCCTAAAAAAACAACCTGATGACTGCTAAAGTTTCGGTGAGGGCATGCTTAGGGGTGCCCACTATTGTAGGTGTTGGAATAGTTGCAAACAGCGCCCCTTTATTCCTCCCAATCCTACAAAACCATCCTCGGAGGACACGCAAACCGTAGCTTTCAACGGCGGAGCGCTCTTCTTCAACCTGCGATACTTTATCGAGGAGGGCGGGGGTAGGGGTTTTAAGGCTTTCAGAGTTTCTGGTTAAGTAACCATAACCCTAAACCTGAACCGTTAAAGGTTTAGGGTTTGGGGATTTTGGGCTTCAGAGTTCCCGTTGGACAAGGCTTGGGGTCATGGAGCATTGAGTTTGGGAGTTAGTTGGGGGGCCACGTTCGGCTTTCAGAGAGGTTTAAAGGTCGGGGCTCAAGCGCAGAGAAGCTCTAGGCTTAGTACCTTTCCCAACAAGTTCGGTCTAGCATGGAAGTCTTTTGTGCGACTTGGGTACACCTCGATCGCAGCCCCTTTTCTAGAAGGGTTCAGAGTCCAGTTGTGGCTGAGAGCGGAGACTTCAGCCTTCCGGCCCGAGGGTTTGTGCCTTGAGATGCACGGGGCCGCTGCCAGGCTCAAGAAGGATCCATCGTAGCTTACAGTTGCTCCGATACAGCACGCCATGCGCTGCGTTCTGCTTGTGTGAAGCTCAGTCTCGTGCCAGGGTAATGAGAAGCTGATTCGAGATCGAAGCTTGCATACCGCAAACCCGGAGAGGTTGACGAACCAACCATGTCCCTTGAGAACCTGCATGTCTGAGAGCCAATCCCTAAACTCCAAACCCTAAGCCCTAAAGCCTAAGGCGGCATTCCTTGCAGCTGCAAGGGCGGAGCATCGGAGCGAGTTGCTGTCACGGGAGGAGGCTGACCTGTTCTCTTGGTTGGGAATGGTGGACCAACATCCTGCGTTCTCCACAACAGCAGAAATCCCATAGCTTGGGGCACTTGAGGCTTAAGGTAGTGTAGTTGGAGGATTCTGGTGACAAGAGCTTACTTAGGGGCTTAAATAATTGCCCGCACTATTTTGGGATTCCTTCTTATACTGACGGCATAGTGAATTTAATTGGCCCCCAAACCCTATTCTAATTATTTAGGCCACTAATATCAGACTATTCGATGTGGAAAGTGCAGGTTTCCCCGATCGGGGTTTCAGATATGTGGGTTCAGGGTCAACGAACTTCTTAGTACCCAAGCATGCAACCGACCTTGTTGAGAGTTTGCCTCAACCACGGCCCAAATCCTCTAAATGGCCTGCGGCAAGCTTCATTGGGTGCTCGCAGAGTTGAAATCCAGCTCCGATTTGTTCGCATTACCGCTTTAGATTCCTGGAGGTGTACTGTACTGGAGCATCCGCAAGCCATAAGCCGTAAATGCCAGAGGTTCATAAAGTCCCTGCACCGGCATTTCCGGGGCTTTTGCTTGAAACTCGGCTTCAGGGTGCACGACGGTGGGCCTAAAGACGGTCAAGGACGAATTACTCCGCACTCTTCGGAAACAACACGTACTGAACCTCAACTTTTATCTTTATTCGTGAAGCAAACGCCCGAGTCTTCATGCCACAAACATCCTGAACAGCCCGTTGCTGTAATCATCCCCAAAAGGGCCTCAGGTGTGGAGTGAAGCAAATTATACTAATAAGTTTTAAACAGTACTAATATTAACAATTCTGCTATAGCAGCGGTAGCCATAGAAATAGTAGTTAGTAATCGCAACAGTGCTGCTAGTAATACGAACATACCAGTTTGGGGGTGGGGTTTAGAATCCTTTAGCATGGGCCCTAAGAGGAAGCAGAAGCCCTTCCCAGGCAGAGGCCCTTGGCGTCGTGGTGGGTGGTAACGCTACTGCCAGGCGCGCCAAAAACTCCAAGGAGGAAGGGGCGTCGTACCCGAAAAATACGATTCCCGGTAGGCCTTTGGGGCATGAATATGTTCCTTTAGTGGGCTCAAGAGGATCATATTTACGGATAGTTTGCAGAGGTTTTAAAACACCAGCCGGATTATAGGTCCTCAGTGATCGGAATCAGGTTCTCGGGTACATTGACGCACTGTACGATCTACACGTATATTAGGGCCGTCAGGCGGTAGGATCAAACGACTTGCCAACTACCGGTGATTGGATTCAAACTACCCGAATCAAGGTCATGGCACTCATGAGTGCAGGTGCAGGTTTGGGTCAACGGCTTGCTTGGGCTTCGCATTTCTGCAACCGGTCGGCACTTTTTGAGGCGCCTGAATATTTGCTAACGTGCGGAAGCCGCAAGCAGAACCTGCACTTCAAAGCCCTGCCGCTGGCATATACTGGAGGGTTTGGCCCTCACCACCCGCAGACAGCAGATTGGTAGCTAGGGAAATAGTCATGGCCAGCTAGTTCCAGCATCGAGAATCACCCACAACTTCCGAAGCAGCAGCAGCAGCAGCAGCAGCGTCAGCACCGCCGCCAGCACAAGCACCGGCGCTAACATCGCATCAGAGTCATCGTCATCATCATCTTCTTCCTCAGTATCGCCATGCAGAACTAGTTTTCCAAAACTGCTTGCCCCATGCAGCAGTAGTGTTTTCTAGTAGAAGCTGCCAGGTCTTCGCATGAAGATTTGCCGTCGCCGGATGGGGGCTACCCTTCGGATTTTACCTGGTGCAACAAGGCCTGTGGCTGTGCATTGAGGGCTGAAGCAGAAGAAGTGGGGCCAACGTCAGCTGTCAGTTCGTTTTGGGAACTTTACAGATGTTGTATTATGATCTTCAGCCGTTCGAAGTGCAGCCCAATGTGCAGCTTTTAGCGGTATGATGTAGAAAGTTCTAAGAGGCTCTAGGGTTTGCGGAACGCGGTACTTGATGAACCTATCAAACGCGCCTCGACGTGTTGACTGAATCATGCAGCATGTGATGACTTGGTTTGCGCTGTTCGCCCGATTCTTGCTGAAGCCCAAACCCTAAACCCATGTCCAACGTAGAGGTTCTATACCCCGAAAGCAGACATGCACGCTCAACCGATGCTCCCAGATATGTAGAGGGGCCTTTGAGGTCCTGGAAAGCCTAGGGACAGACATTGGGTCTTGAAGCCATTATTATTATTTTTACTATTATTATTATTATCATTATTATTATTATGTACTCCAGATCTTAAGGTGGAGGGCTGAGGGGGCTGTTTGGTCTTAGGTCGAAGGTCGAGGTTCCGGGTCTAGTTTAGAGGTAGGAACAGTCAGTAGTTATATTACGTAGTACAGCCATACCTATGCTATTCCATATACCACAAAACTCTGTTTTACTTGGGGTTCCTGGAGTTG